GTTTGAATTTTAAATTTTTTTGAAATCGTACCGAACGACGAATATGTAAAAAAAAAACGTGGGAACTAGCTTGCCACATGTCTTTGCCACCAACAGCACGTATTTGTGAGAATCATTTTTAACACCTCCGACCAAGGCGAATTTATACAAGGTGGTGTTACTGGCGAATTTAGATTTTCGTCGCGGTACTTCTTAATGTCAAAATGATGTGTTTGTTGTAAACAAGGCGAATTCATATTACAACAGTAATGCTTAAAAATTACTTGCGTTTTTGAATGTTATTCATCTACACTGCAGGATTTTTTTATTTGCAAGTGCAAGTTTTAAGTAGCTAGGAATTACTGTTGATTTTTGGCAATTTTTTTCACGCAGTCTCTTCCATACAAATTTTTTTTTTTCCAAAATACATTGTATGGAAAAAATGCAAAACACCGTCAACAAAAAAAAAAAATTCTCAAAAATCAACGCGATTTTTGACTAACTCCGAACATGCATTTTTTTACTAGAATTTAATGGGCTGCAAAACTACATACTCAAACAAATTCTATAAAATCTGATTAAAAAGTTGAAAATTTTGATGAAAATTTGCTGAATTTTCGCGAGTTTTGCAAAAAGTTCAAGAATTATATTTTTATGTTTTTGTTGTTAAATGATATTTGGTATTTTTATACAAAATTGGCGGAAAAATATTAGAATAAAAATTGTTGCATATATTGTAAAAAATTTGCTGTGACAATACTTTGTTCCGGCAGTGTATGTATTTATTCATAAACCAAACCAAACTTTCATAAAGTTAGTTAACAAATAAATAATAAAAAATTTATATATTTTTTTTTTGTTATTTAATTTGAGTTATTTTTTATAAAAATATAGTTCATTGTTTAACAAATACTGTATAAATCCACGTTTCAAACTTTGTGCAATATTTGAAAAAACTCAACAAATTGTCGTAAAAATTTCAAGCTTTTTTTCAAGTTTCTAAGAATTTTCGTTTTAGAATATCCTGAAATTCCCCACAAAAAACGGTCCATTCCCCGATTCCCCACGCAAACTGAAATTCTCCGCAAATCGGGGAATTCCCCACGAGTTGGCTTCCCTGATGTACACGCATTTTTTTTAACAAACCTTGCAGAAAACTTATTTGATTTGAAAAAGCCGGAAAAAAACATTTGCTTGTAAATAAATCCAAAATTTATATGACTCACTTCATTTCAAAAATTTTTTCTTTTGTTTTGAAAAATTATGCAAATTAACTTGATCGGAAATAAAATGCAAAGCCAAATACCTGTAATTATTGTACCATGACCTCTCTACTAGTGTTTTAAAACGGAAAAACTTGGCAGCACTGCATAGTTTTCGACGATTTTCGTCGTTTACTTATTTCAACACGACAGTCGACAACGCCGATTTTGTCGAGTCGTACAGTTTCTCTGATCAATCAGTTCTATGGGAGCTAGATGTTTTACCGAACCGATTTCGATGATTTTATAAAATAGTTAAGGTAATATTAAAAAAAAACGGTTATGTGCAAAGTTTTAGTAAAATATCTTCAAAACTCAGGGACTTTTTTAAAAAAAATAGTTAAAATTTAAGCAAAGTTCCAAGTACCGCTATCTCGAAAAGTGGAGCCAATAGGGTAAAACTGAGGACGCCAGTGAATTTGGAAGGCTCCATTTAAGTAAGAGCAACTATCAGAACCTTTGTCGAAAACAGTTGCTTTGATACCACGCTCGAAATATTCCGACTAACGACTAACGACTAACGAGTTCTTAACTAACGACTAACGACTAACGAGTTCTTAAAATTAAATGCTTCAAAACTTATACGCGATAAACCGAAAATTTTGAAAATTGAGAAATGTGGAGTTACAGACTTGGAGTTACTTGCCATTTGGTTATTTTTAAATGCACACTTTTCTTACCTACTACATATGAATTGTACACATAAGTGCTAAATGCCCATTTAATTTCAAGTCAGAATATGGTGTGCTTCAAAACTTATGACATAATTAATTGTGCCCCTCTTAAAAATTACATAAAAAATTCACTTGTTTTCATATTTTTTTTTTAAATTTAAACACCAAAAATTCAAAAGTTATGCAGCAAATTGATCTAAATTTTTTTTTGAGGTTTCAAGTATGCGTCAATGAATTATATCCAAAAGCAAGCAGCTTGATATAGTTTACAACAGTGAAAATAAAGCTAAATAAAACAAAGGCTACCTGTTTTTTTAGATTTGCCCATTTACGTAGTATTTTTTTTTTGGATTTTGTTAAATGTTCTTTGATAAAGTGACACTTATTACGGAAGTAGGTTTTACACATACACAGTATGGGTCATATCTATAGCACGCCATTTCAAAGTGATATTGTGTGCCACTTATGTTTATTTATTTATTTTTAAGAATTTTCAATTAAAATTTAGTTCATTCTCAGACAAACGCCATATATACCCAAGTTTAACAATTTGTAGAAAACTACAAAAAAGTGTAACAAATTTTCATCTAAATTTCAAAATTTTTTCTCGGAACTGATAGAATTTTTTTGAGTTCACAGTTTTTTAGTCCCTGCGATTTTAGAATAATAATATGCAAATTTCAAGTGGCTACGAATTACCGTTATTTTTTTTGAGTTTTTTTTTTGTCGCATTGGCTTCCATATAATGAATAAACTCAATTTATTTGTATATGGAAGAAAACCACAACATCCTTGGCGAAAAAAATTCTAAAAAATCAGTGGTAACTTTTAGCCACTTGAAACTTGCACATTATCAGACTAAAATTGATTGGGCTATAAAACTGTGTGTTCAGAAAAATTCAAACACTTCCGAGAAAAAAGTTTGAAATTTAGGTGAAAATTTGTTGCACTTTTTTTTGTAGTTTTCCACAAGTTATAAACTTGGGTTTATAAGGGTTTTGTTAGAGAAAGAACTGTATTTTAATTGAAAATTCTTAAAAATAAATAAATAAACAAAAAAGGCACACAATATCTCTTTGAAATCGCGTGCTATAGATATGACCGATACTGTATATGTAATACTTCTATATTGGCAGTAAGATAAATTCTCAATGTGTAAGCATTCCGAAATCAACCCCGTAGCGAATGTCATGCATTAGTCACTTAAGAGTCTTGCACGGAAAAGTTACGTCTTAAATGACTTTGGGCTCCGTTTGTATGGAAGTCGTTCATGACTTTTTCATATAAATGGTCATGCAGTGATCATTAATGACATTTGAGCGACAATATCCTACAAGGGACTTTTTATTAGTGACCGCTGAAAGACATTCTCTGTTATAAGTCTTTGATAGGAGTACACCTGCATGACATTGTCACCAGTGTCATTGTCAGCTATATGTCGTTAACAGCAAGTGTGATGATGCCACTAAATCCTCATTAGTGACCATGTCACCGGTGACTATTTTCGCTACTGGGATGTGCTCATTTTCTTTCGTACGTGTGTATAGATATATCTGTACTGGAATGTTTTCGGACGGTACTAGCTCTCACTGCCAATATAAGGAGTATTACATACATGGTTTTAACTACAAGACTTTGGAAAATTTTCTAAAAAAGTCTAAATATCTGTTATATGAGGCATTTCATGTCACCGCGGCCACCTCTGTGCGCAACCTCTAAGGATGTGGATGAAAGTAAAAGAGATTGAAGGTCTAGGTGATATGAATATACGTGCTACATATTTTGCCGATATGACGTAGGGTTGCCTATTTACATGCGACTTAAATTTTAAGAAAACGTCATACATGCTTTTCTTTAAAGTGCTGTATCTTGGAAACCTTTTAACGAAACTGAATGAAAAAAAGTCTTTCTTTCGTCTTATTATGGGCTTTAATTGTACATTTTTTACATTAATGTGCGACGTATAAAAGCAAAAAAAATTATGTAAACATTTTTCTTTTTGATTATAGCATTAACTTTTTTTTACATAAAAACATTAGGGGTATTCTCCAAATCTTGCAAAGCCATTGCACGTAGCACGGTTTGCACGGATTGCATAAATTGCAAACACACAACAAGAAAATTCATGGGAAACAACATTTCCTATCGCTGCAAAATATGCAACGTCGAAACCCATGTATATATTTTGCAAAATAGCATAGCAAGATAATAGCGACCCTGTGCTAGTTGTTTTGTTGTTGGAATTGCTACATATTTCTCTCATTCCTCTCATCTCGCTCACTTAATTTTTTTTTGCTGTCTCTTGTTATTGCATTTGATACATAATTTCGCTGCTTGCTCCCCATGCATGCTACCACTTTGCAATGGGGTGTTCTCGTACTCTTCGAAATTTGGAATAGTATTTTTGCATTTCGTGCAATCCGTGCATCGTGCAAGACTTCGAGAATACCCCTATTGTCTATAATGTCAACTTTAAGTAACCAAATGGGCATAATGGGCTACTTAGACGTATGGACTCTAGATCGTCTAACGCTCCAGAAATATGATAAATAGACCATTGTTGTTGCGAATATTATTCCGAAATAAAAGTCTTTCTGGTATTAAATGAAAGAGGACTTAAATATCTTTAAAAGTGATATGTCTATACGATGAAAGTCACATATTGAAAAATATTTCTATAAAAATGTTTATTAATTACCATAGAACAAACCTTGTGTCAGTTATATGCATTTATTTAGTATTAAATTATAAAAAAAAAAATATAAATAGAGGTCGTCCGTTATTTTTGTTTAGAAGCTATTTCAGTCCGCTTTCATATGATACCAAATTTGGACAGGCGGTTTGTTTATTATCCGGAAAGGGCTTTTATTTCGGAATAATATTCGCAAGGAAATGATAGAATTCAACTTTGTTGCAAGTTCACATGGGAAATCTGCTTGCGACGTGATTGGAGGAAATTTTAAGAGACTAGCAGCTAGAG